GGGGGGGTTGATGGGGACGGGCTCTCTACCCCAGCAAATGCTGTCGCAACGCCCATCTCTCCCCCCTTGGTGGGTCCAGCTCATGAGGGGGTCGACGGGGATGGGCCAGACCGAGACCTAGCAAGGATGAAAGAGATCTACCGTGTGATGGGTTTCCTGCACGATGGCCATGAAGGACCGGCGCACCGCTTCATGCTTGCCGATCCCCATAGCTGTATGGAGGTGGGTTTCAAAGGAAAGAGGGAGCTCCTAAACCTCTTTTCTTCATTGTCTGACCAGGGGCCGTCCTCTGTCGAAGGGTCCCTTCTCTCCCCTCTTCACAGCTCTTTGAGGCGTTCACCCAGAATAGCCTCTCTCCTCAACTCTTCCTCGTCTCCATGAAGGTTGTCTCCTGGAATATCAAAGGCCTGGGTCACCCTAAGAAAAAGAACGCCATTAAGGACCTGTCCTCCAAACACTGCCCTCTCATTTTAGCCATTACTGAAACAAAGAGCCCTGAACCCTCCCTTCTCCAAGTCTGTCAGATTTGGGGTAGACAACCTTGCCAGTGGGTAGCTCTACCCGCAGTAGGTGCTTCAGGGGGAATCTGGGTTATTTGGGAACCCACTGATCACACCCTTGTCTCCTCCCATGTTGGGGAGTTCTCAGTAACCATTATGTTGTTCAGAGTCTCTGATGGCCTAAAATGGAAATTCACGGCCATTTATGGCCACTGCTCTTCGACTGGTAGACTGCGGCTCGGGTCTTACGAACGTAACTCCACCTCACGTTATCTCTCAGGGGATGGTAGAGTTTTCTGACTTTATCACAAATAACGACTTGCTTGACATCCCCCTCCAAGGCAACTGGTTTGCTTGGTCCAGTCACTCTTCCCAACCTTCTCTTTCCAAATTGGATAGGTTTTTGTTTTCCCTAGACTGGGAAGAAAAGTTCCCTGGTTCCCTTGCCGTCACCCTGCTTAAACCTATCTCTGATCATTGCCCCATCCTTTTGTCTACCTTAGCGGTAGATAGGGGTCGTAAACCTTTCAGATTCGAGTTGGTCTGGATGGAAGATAAGTCCCTCTCCACTCTGATGCCTACCTGGTGGACTGTTAGCGGGATAGCAGGTTTCAGATTACAGTAAAAAATTCAACTCCTCAAGGCTGCTCTCAAGCCCTGGAGTAGGTCTGTTTTGGGGAATTTTAACCTAATCAACGCGGAACTCCTTAAGACTCTACAAGAACTAGATAGCCTAGAAGAATCTCGTCCCCTGTCTCTCCCTGAAACGAACCTCAGAACCCAATCTAAGCTTAATTACCTCTCCACTCTGAAAAAGGAAGAGATTTATTGGTACCAGAGGTCTAGGGTCAACTGGCTTAAAACAAGCGACCACAATACCCGCTTCTTCCACATGATTGCTAACTGTCGTAGGAGAGACAATACAATCTCAACCATCAAAGTTAACAATTGTTTCCTGGAACGGCCGACAGAGAATGAATCTACAATCATCACTTATTTTCAGAACCTTTACACTGCTCCCTCTGACCTTAAACCTTCTATGACTGACCTGGATTTCTTGACCCTCTCTGATGAACAAGCCTTGTGGTTAGAGCGTCCTTTCCTCAAAGAGGAAATTCTTAAATCTCTGGATGACCTTGCTAAAGACAAAGCTCCCGGGCCGAACGGGTTTTCGGTGGCCCCCTTTAAGACTTTTTGGGAGACTTTTTGGTCGGATTTTTTGAGCTTCTTCACTGAATTCTTTCAGCGAGGGATTCTCAACAAATCCATCAATGCTACTTTCATCGCCCTGGTCCCTAAGGTCGAAGGGGCAGAGGAACTTAAGGATTTTCGTCCCATAAGTTTGCTCAACTCCTCCTATAAAATTCTTTCTAAGGTTTTGGCCTCTCGTCTTCAGTAGGTCTTGCCTTCAGTCATCTCCCCCTTGCAGACGGCCTTTATCAATAATAGACAAATCCTTGATGGGGTCTTGATAGCAAACAAATGCATTCACTCGAGACACATAGCCAATAATCCCGTTCTCATTTTTAAGATTGACTGGGAGAAGGCCTAAAACCATGTCGACTGGTCGGTTTTGAATGAGAATATGGACCGTATGGGCTTTCGAAACTGCTGGCGAAAGTGGATGAGGGAGTGTTTTTCTCACCCAAGTTTCTCTATCCTTATCAATGGTACTCCCAAAGGGTACTTCCAGTCCTCGAGAGGCCTGCAGCAAGGGGATCCACTTTCCCCCTTCCTTTTTGCAATCTCAGCCGAGGTTTTTAGTGGATCCCTCGGTCGGCTTTACCATGCTAAGCTTCTTTCTGGCTTTGGATCCTCAAGAAGAGGGCCCACTGTGTCGCATCTGCAATATGCAGATGACACCTTGGTCTTCCTTGATGCCTCTCCTTCGGAGGCAGAAAACCTCAGAATCTACCTTAAGTGTTTCCAGAGGGCCACTGGATTCAAGGTCAACATGGCGAAATAAAAAATGATGGGTATCTCTATCACCACCAATCTTATTAGAGACCTTCTTCTTGAATGGGAATGCAAGGTGGAGGACCTTCCAACCTCATTCCTGGGCCTCCCCCTAGGACTTCGAAAACCCAAAAAGAACCATTGGTCCCACGTTATAGATAAGGTTGACAGAAGGATGGCTGGTTGGAAAGGGTGGTATCTGTCTCAAGCAGGTAGAACCACCCTTATCAAAGCAACTCTAACCAATGCGTCGGTATATATGATGTCCCTTTTTCAAATTCCGGCCTCGGTGGCTAACCGCCTTGATCAGCCATGAGGAACTTCCTCTGGTCGGGACAAGCTGATAAAAGCAAATTTCATCTCATCACTTGGGACAAGGCTCTTTTACCCAAAAATCAAGGGGGGCTGGGAATTAGAAACTTGAGAAAACATAACATTGCCCTTTGAGGAAAATGGTGGTGGCGTTTGGGCACCCAATCTAATTCTCTTTGGGCTCAGGTCCTTCGGTACAAAGTATAATATTCCAGTCTAGTCTTGGGTCCCAGAGACCAAACCTCGGTCTAATGCTTCAGGGGTGTGGAGGTCCCTAACAGCATCCCTTGAATTATTCAGGAAACACATTAGACAATGTCCAAGAGATGGTACTAGAGTGAGATTTTGGACTGACATTTGGATAGGTCATACCCCCTTAAAGGAAACCTATCCTTCGCTATTCTCAGTCGCGATGAATAGAGATGCAACTATGGAGGATGAGTTCAGAGTCGAAGGAGGCAGAAGACGTTGACATCCCTCTTTTAGAAGGAACCTTTCTGAGGGGGAATCTCATCAATTCCTCTCCCTATTGTCTTTGCTCTACAACACTTTTATCCTGGTCCAGGGAAGGGACAAGTTGGTATGGTCCCTTGCCCCTTCAGGGGATTTTACTGTGACTTCCTTCTACAGGTGGCTCATCCAACCCCCCGCTTTCCCCCTCAACTCGACTTCTATCCTTGCACAAGTTTGGCTGACCATTGCACCTCCAAAGGTGCAAACTTTTAATTGAATCGCAGGGTCAAACAGGGCACTCACAGTGGATCACCTGCAAAGGAAAGGTATTCCTATCCCTAGTAGGTGCATCATGTGTTTGTGCCAAGAGGAATCCAATAATCACCTGTTTCTGCATTGTAATGTGGCCCATGAGATTTGGAGTCTAGTTCTACAACTGTTTGGGGTGCTTTGGGTTTTACCTCCAACGGTAAAAGACCTCTTCGCTTTGAATCTGGCTGCACATTGGCCGAAGGCGGGCAGAATCTACTTTGGCAGCAACAATCCGGACCATTTGGAAAGAAAGAAATGGGCGTATTTTTCGGGGACAGGTATTCCCTGGTCCTTCGCTCTTCTTGAAGGTTACATCCTTAGTGACCTTCTGGGCGGCAAACCACCCATGGTTCAAGGGCATTCCTATGGACTCTTTCAGCTAGAATTGGGAGCATATTTTATTCCACAACCCGAAGAAAAACAAAGTTAAATCAGTTTGGATTGCTCCTCCCCAAGGAGCAATCAAACTTAATTTTGACGGTTGCTCTTTAGGCAATCCTGGCCACGCAGGTGCGGGAGGGGTCTTTAGAGATCATCTTCAAAACATCCTCTTCTCCTACTCTGAATACCTTGGTGTCTATGTTTCGCACTTTACCGAATCAATGGCTCTCCTTAGAGGCATTCAGAACTTCGATCGGTCTTGGGGACATACTCTCTTAGTGGAGGGTGATGCTAGGAACATTCTCTCTTGGGCATCCAAGTCTGGTACCTTGTGCCCATTTATGATGAAATTGAACATCTTTGCAGGGATATGCCAATCTTATGGATTCCTATCTTCAAGGACGTCGAACGGGTTCGCTGATCTACTAGCTAAGGACGGAGCCATGGCCTGTGTAACGGTTCGTTTTTGGAATGGGCACAAAGCTTGCACTTTACTTGAACCCCTTCTGGACTTACTCTGTCAGTCGTGTTTGCATCTTTTTTGTACATCTACAGTATACTTTGTAAGGGGATAATCTTATAACCCCATTTTGTATAAACGGTCTGTTGACCTATTCTTTTTTACCAGGAGTCCTAGGTGTTAGGTACTCTTGGACTATACTTCATATCTCGTATCTTTCTTTTATTATCAATACAATTATTAACAGTTATCAAAAAAAAAAAACAAACATTTTATACATTACAAATTTAGAATGGTTTTGTATCTACTTGATACACTCGCCAAATTATGGAAATTAAACTAGGTTGAACAATCATACAGGCAGGTCATAAGTTGCATCATCTTCACTAGTCCTGTTACGACTGTCATGTCAATCTCCTCTAGGCTTGGTAGACCACATAGATTTCCTTTTTGATGTCTTTTTATGTAAACTCTGGAATTATATTGATTTTCACATGCACATTTATTATTTGTTGGTCAGGGTATTACTGTCACCTATATCCTTTGTCATTTTTACGTTGCTCACGGTCTGTCTTATCATTGTCTATAAGCATCTCATATTTGCTCAATAACTGTTACTTGTACAGATCCAAAACGATGGATGTTATTTGCAATTAGGGGCTAAAGATGCTTTACTAAATGCTCTTCTGCTAGCTGCACAAAGATTTAGCTTGGGTCCTCCTCAGGTAACAGTGTTTTGATTCTGTTTAATAAGTGTAAATTGTAATGACTTTTTCAATACAGAACTTGTAATTCTGTTTTTATTTGGTTATGTGGTGATGTCATCATCTTAGGTTACAAAGTTTTGTATTATTGTTTTTGTGCATGTGCTCATGCATGTGTGTGTTTTAGCAATTCTGTGTATTGACAGGAAATCTTTCTTTAACAGCTCTTGACACAAATCTGTCTTGCACTGTCAGCCCTTGTTCTTCGTGCAGTAGAACTTGAAAATCCTATTGAGCGACTATTTTCAAGTTTATACAAATTACAGGGGCAGGACAGCGGTAATATTGCAGTACTAGAGATGCTAACTGTATTACCTGAAGAAGTTATTGACGACCAAAACAAAAATCACAATTTGGGTTTGGGCCCGACTTACAAATGGCGATTTGCTCAAGAGGTGTGGCCATTTTGACCTAGAAATTTGTCATTTACTTTATTGATAGCTGTTGAACCCTGTTTCTGCCTTACAACTATTTGCTTTGCACATCTTTTATCTCATTATAAGATGGGTAGGCTGTCTCTCATTTATGCATATGGAAATGTTGTCTTGCTTTCATGTTGAATGTGTTCAACCTTTTGAACAGCTTCTGTCTCATACCCCCAAGGTTCTTGAGTTCCTGCTACATCAATCTAATCGAAGGGTTGAGGATGTTAACCAACTCCATGAAAGGAACCGGAGAGTTCTGCGATGCCTGTTGAGCTGGGTAAGACTTCTACTTCATGCTTTTATGGTCTGCCTTATTTATACTTAGTATGTCACACACACATACAATTTCCTTAGGATAAATTACTCGTTCCTTTGTTATCATTTAAAATTTGTGTATATTTTTGAGCTGTAACAAAGAATTGGTGTTCTTCCAAAAAACAGTGTATGTATGTATCCTTTTTTGGATGCATTTTTTTTTTTCGACGCTTGCCATGGATATATCCTGCATCATACTGACATAATACTTGCTCTGAGTGAAGATATGGAGATGAACACTTTCCTGTATCATTTATTGCAAATCTTCATATCTAACAATTGATGAAAACCTCTTTGTCCTGGTTTACGGGCATATTCTACAGGGCCTTTGTGGGGTATTGCATCTCCTAATAATTTTGTTACTTCTGGTTCAAATATTAGGTTGGTCCTTTATATGTGTGACGTGTCCATACAGGTAATTTGGTCAACGCTAAATGATGTATCAGCAAATAAGGGATTTATTCCCTGAACACAATAATTGATATCCATTGTTAACATTATCTGATTCATGTCCCAAAGTTAACAGAGTATTGGAACATGGCTCAGAACCCAGAGCTTCCTTGATTTTTACATCTACTTGTGAGTCTCAAGAATGCTTGTGAGCAACTCTCTTTCTTCTTATTTCATATTGCCTCAATTCCTCCTGCTATGTTGTATGTGTCTATGTGGAGGAGTTTGCGAATGTAGATAACGTTCTTCTGTTCTTCCTATTCATAGCCTATCACTTGTGTAACTTTTCACTAGTGACTTGGTAATCTAGTTGGATTAGGTTAGTGGCATGCCCATACACTTGTACAAATTATTTTCATTTCTTTTTAGACAGTTCATTGTTTATATACTTAACATGGTAATGAATTGATAAACAGGTTCGTGCTGGGTGTTTCTCAGAGATTCCAGCATCCTCTCTTCCAATGCATCCTCTTCTCAATTTTGTTTACAGCTCTTTACAGGTAATTGTCATCTTTGTCATGTTGTTAAGTTTGTACACCAACTTTGTCTGATGAAGTGGTCTAATTTATAACCCAAGGTTTAGACGTTAAATGTTTGTCTTTTCCTGTTTTGACAATAAACTTGTAGATATTCTTGAGATTGTGTTGTATATGGTGCTGATCCAAGCATGATGAGTGATGACAAGTTCTTTCATATACTTTACTTTTGGCATAGGTTCTGCCGTCATTTGATCTGGCCATTGAAGTTCTTATGGAGCTTGTGAGTCGGCATGAGGTATGGGTTGTTGGTACATGGTTTCTTGGTGCCATGGATTTGTTAGCCTTATGAGTAGTTCCTTAGAATACTTTCTGTGGAGCAACTATTTTTGCAATGGACAGATTTGCCAGTACTGCTGTTAATGAGAAAAGTAAAACAGTGGTGTTCAAAACCTTTATTTTCAATCCATGTGCAGTTGATTAAAAATGGGAACTGTTGTTTAATATTTAGAGCCTTTCTTCTTGCTCAGTTGTCGGTTATCATGAAACTTGCACATCCCTTTTTTTTTCTAGTTTTCGAAAATGTATGGCCTTTCTCCAGAGTCTTATGAGTTTTCCTTTTTATGGCTTAAGCAGGGTATTCCTCAAGTTTTGCTATCTAGAGTGCCATCTTTCAAAGAACTACTTCTCCTACCTGCTCTTAGTAGTGGAGATGAGAAAGTAATTGGAGGTCTTGCATGCTTGATGGCAGAACTTGGGCAAGCTGTAAGTATTTTGTTAATGTTGCGTTGTAGATTTCAGTAACTTATAAAAGGAATAACTTCCATTCAGAGTTAAAGAAAAAGTTGTACACCAACTCATATCTATCTAGAAACTTTTGTGTGGGGAACCAGAAACTATCTTCCAAGTCCCAACATGCGAAACCACTCCCTCTCATGTAATTGATGTGCTTTCCATTTGGAGTGGAGTGGAGATAGAAGGGAAACACCTCTTAAAATTGTCATGCCCTGTGAGATTGAAGTGGTCCACTCCATGGATGCACACATGCTGTTCTTTGCCCTGGAAGTCACCATTGGATGGAAGCACCCTACTGGACATGATTTTAGACCTCCCTCATTTTAGTAATGTTCTCCCTCCAAGGCTGCTTTCTTCCCTTGTCTAGTTTGGTCCTAAACCTCATCCTCTACCCTCGACCTGAGGTCATCTTCCTGTCCATAACTCTCCTGTTGCAATGGTTGTACTATTCTACAAGTTCCTTCTCTGTGATCTCGGAAACTGAGTGTCTACAGATTTCATGCCTCATTCCTATAGGCACATCTCCAACTTCAACATCTCTCCTTCTCCTTACCTCCCAGGGTTTCAGTAGGACTTCCCCAATCCCATACCCTACTCAACCAGGCTTCAGAAACCAAGTGCATACCTCTCTTGTTCCATCATTCAATGTCCTTAGTTCCTCATGGAGCTCCTTGCCTCCACTTTCAGGAAGATGACCCATGGTCAGTTGGGTTTCATGTGCTGAACTTTTTGTAATTTGCTTCCTGACTCGTACTCTATTTCATGATGAGCTAGATTTGCTTGTTGATTTTAATATTAAAGATCCATTTGAAATTCATCTCTCTTCTGCTGTAGCATTAGTGTTTTTGCTTTAACATTATCATCATCAGTCACTGACAAACCATGAATGTTCTTGGGCTTGGTTTCTATAAGAGGATTTGTGGGTCTCATCAGTAGTCTTGGATATGTCTCACATCAAATGGAAATGTCCTTCAACTTCACAGATGAATGTTGCTTTGGGTTGTAATGTGTCAGGCACCCGCTTTGATTGCAGAGGCAAGTCCTGAAGCACTTGTGCTTGCAGATGCAGTTTTAAGGTGGCATATACATTCTTCGTTATTACAATATCAATTTCTTAGTATGCCATCTTATGTATTTTAACTTTCACCTTTCTTAAGGAAAAAATCGATCAATAATCACGCTTTTTATCTGCTCAAATTCATCAATTACCCTGCGCCTCGCAACTCTTGAATGCACTGCCTTTGTACTAACTACCAAGTATTCCCTGCTACACTGAACAGTTGTGTTGCTTTTCCAAGTGAGGACTGGGAGATTTCAGACTCGACATTACAGTTTTGGTAATGATTCTCTGACTTTACTTCCATCGTTATTCATGATAACAGTGTTTATTAGATTTCTGTTATTCATTGTTGAAGATAAGTTTGTTGTTTTTTGACGTAACATTTTGAGTCAAATGCTGTAATAAACCAAGGGTAACCATGGATTTGGACACAAAGTTTTGGTAAAGATGCATAAATGCATTCCTTCTGTAAACTGGTAGTCAAATCAAGAAAATTTCCTGTTAAGTACATCTAGTTATCATACATAATTTTAAATTATCATACTAGAAACATAAACTTAAAACAAGCGACCTAGTGAATCCCTTAATTTATTGTTTGAACTGCCATCCAGTGTTTCAAAAAGCGCTAGGTGGGTCCTAGGCGGCCTGGGGGGTCCAGGTCGCCTAGCGCCTAGGCGGGCGCCCAGAACCTAGGCGGCTGCCTAGTTGAAAAAAACATAGCAATATACCATATTCCAAGTTGAAAAAAAAAAAAGATAGACGTCGAGAAGCGAATTTTGATAATCCATATTGTTAAAACAGTAAACTGTAAAACCATACAAGTGTAAGATATAAAGTCAACACTCAACACAACATAAATATACAGAAATTTAGAAAATATACAGTCTAACAAAAGTCAACACTCATGACTCAACATAACAGTCAACAGTCAACACTCAGCACCAAGAGGCATGAGTCTTCGGTCATTGTCATCATCATCATTAGAAGGAATATCAATAGGGAAAACCTCATCATATGCATCAAAGTCGAGGCCATCATCATCAGAATCATCTTCCTCTTCAATATAACGTTCGTCCTCCTCTGTTTCTTTTGGATCTGCCTCTTTCTCCTCCTCTTCTTCTACCTTCCTCTTACTAGTATGTGCAGTCTGTGCAGTTGAGGCCCTAGGAGTCTTGGCTGTTCTACCATTTTCTTTGTGCTTCTTTGAACTCAAATATTGTATAATTTCTTCCCTGATAGCCTCAGGAACATTTTTACACGGGGCAACATCCCCCTTAACACCGGCAAGGTATTTTTTAAACCGGTAAATGCCCCCATTAGTATCTTTTCTACAATAATTATATTTAATATGATTTTTATCACTTGGATTCGGGTTATAACCATACTTCCAACCCGGATCACCACTCCGACTAGAACTTGAAGAAGATACTTCCATAGAACAAGGCTTATTTTTATCATTTTTTGGTTCTTCTAAATTCAGAAGATGTTTAATCTCATGTCGAACTGCTTCAAGAACCTTTGTACAAGAAGCAACATTACCTCTAACACCAGCAAGGCGTTTTTTGAATCGGCTAATACCCCCATTGGTATCTTTTTCATAAAAATTACATCTTATACAATTTTTATCATTTGGTTTTGGGTTGTAACCCATACTTCCAACCCGGATCACTTCTTCTAGAAGTAGCAGAAATAAATCTATGACAAGAATTTTGTTATTGTTTTTGTTTTACATCCTGTCTGGTAGCTTCAAGAACATTTTTACAAGGGGCAACATCCCCCTTAATACCGGCAAGATGTTTCTTAAACCGGTTTATGCCTCCTTTTGTATATTTTTCACAAAAATTGCATCTAACGCAATTTTTGTCATTGGGATTCGGGTTGCATCCATTTTTCCAACCTGGTTCTCCACTCCAACTAACTCTTGAAAAAGACATCTCAAAATAAAACAAGCAATCTAAAAAATAAAGTTTTGCACTTACTTTGATTGCTCGAACTCCAAACTCTGAGAAACACTTCGATTCAATGAAATGTAGTTTTCTGGGGTTTTTGTGGGTTTAAGTTTCAAATGAACCTAAAACCCCTCATTCTAACCTTTTATTATATCTTTAAAAAAAAAAAAACATTTCCGCCTCTGATTGGGGCGTAGGCCCTGGGCAGCCGCCTGGGCGGGTTCCGTACCGCCTAGCCGGCCGCCCAGGGATCACTGCCCAGTTTGGCCGCCTAGGCCTAGGCGATGCGCCCAGGCCTTCTGGATCGCCTAGGCGCTGGGCAGTCCGTTTTTTTGAACACTGTTGCCATTTGATGTTTTCTTTCTTTTTCTTTTCTTTTTATTGAGGGAAAAATTACTAAAAAGTGAGAAGTACAAAAAGGGTTATGGGTATCAGGAGATGTCAAGGTGACAACTTAGTCATTAAACTTTCCCAGTTCCACTAATTTAGACTCTCTAGAAGTGCCAGTAATTAGCCAGTTATCCGCATTCCATTAGCCTTTCTTAGTACATGATGAAAAGAGAAATGAGGAGAACAAACATTTCAATTGATCAAACTCCAACACCACCCTTGGACGATCACCCTTTTTTTTGCGCATCAGATCACATCGAGATTGTCACCTTCTACGGAGATCTGTGCCTATGGTGGGCAAAATTTAGAACGCATGGAAATGCATTGCCCTTAGCTAGAGAGGGAACACAAATAACCTGTGGCCATGAGAACGATAAAAACATTAAGCCATCTGCATTCTGGATAATAGCCCTTATGTCACTAAGGCTCAGGTTCCATTGAAATTCAGCTTCAGTTACCTTTAGATTGTCACTGGGGATGAGGAAAGAGCCATTATTGTGCCCAAACCCCTTTTAAAGAAATCAATTGACTTGAACCCTTGGAACTGTCGTCTCACCATAGTCTAGGATATGACTGGTCTTGATTGTGCTTATGAAGTGTTGATATACTGATCCTTCTTTCTCTAAATATCTGGTTGTTATGCTCCTTCCACATCCTCCCAGAGGTCAGAAAGAATGTAGAACTGACACAGAATGTAGTGGATGACTGTTCAAATTATTCAATGTAGTGGAGGACTGTCTTGAGTCACATTACAATTTTAGCCTTATTATTTGATAAATCATCGAGCAAATGCTAATAGGTCTCAAGTCATAGACTGCAGTTTCTGTTGTCTTTTAGGAAGAATATAGCCTGTAGTACTAAGCTTTTTGTTAACATAACTCTGTACAAACTCAAGTAGATATTGTCATTTGCTTTCTGCTACTTGCTCATTAGGTCATCATTCTTGTGCAACTTGTCACTTTGGATTATTGAACTGGATACTTCTATACCAAATTACCAACTGATTGTATTCTTTGCTTTTGGTTTCTGTATCACTTTGCTTGTTATGCCATGTTTAAATGGTGAAAGTAGAAATTTTGTATGACTGGGTATCATGTTCTAATCCTACCTAAATGTTTTGCTATTCTTATAAGCTTTGAAGAGTCTCATCTCATCCCCTGATGCAATTGGGGTTTTCATTTTTTTATTTTTTATGTTTTAGGAGCGTAAATTTAGGTTTAGGGTGATTGGATTTCTAGTTTTCTTTTGGGGAATTTGTGTCTTTTTTTGTGTTAGGGAATTGAGGGGTATGATTGAAAATTTAATTTGTTTTAGGAAATGAGGGGTTAAGATCTTAAAATTTAATATTGATTACAACTTCTTGAGCAATTTAGGTTTTAGGTTTTTTTTTCCCTTCTATCATCATCATCATCATAGCCTTTCCCAAATAATTGGAGTCGGCTACATGAATCCTGGTCTACCATTATGCTCTATTAAAGACTATACCCTCAATGAGGCTATAACTCCCTATATCTTTGTGAACTGCTACCAACCACGCCCTTTTGGGCTTACCTCTTGCTCTTTTCAGTCCTTCCACTTGAACTAACTCGCACCTCCTAACAAGTGTTGTACTTAGTCGGCGCTACACAAGGCCAGCCCCCCTAAGTGCACTCTCTCTCATCTCATCGCCTATTGGTGCCATACCTAAATTATCGCGAATGAATTCATTTCGAATTCTATCTCTTCTTGCCTTGCTACTCATCCATCTCAACATCCTCATTTCCATTACACTCATTCTACGAGTATATATAGTTTTATTCGCCCAACATTCTGCCTCATAGAGCAAAGCTGGTCTCACAGCTGTCCTATAAAACTTGTCCTTCAATTTCATTAGTATATGGGATCACATAAAATTCTAGTTGCACATCTCCACTTTGCCCACCCAGCTCTAATTCTGTGTGCGACATCGTCCTCAATCTCTCAGTTTTTTGGATTATCGACCCAAGATATCGAAAGTGCGGTCTTTTTTGTACTTTTTGACCGTCAATCTTAACTACTTCATTGTCTCTACTCTCCTATTATTTCTAAACTTGTATTCCATATACTCTGTCTTAGTCCGGTTAATTTTAAAACCTTTGGATTCTAGAGTATTCCTCCAAAGTTCTAACTTTGTGTTGACGCTGTTTCGGGTCTCATCGATTAAAACTATGTCATTTGCAAACAACCTCATCATGTAGGTACCTAGTTAAGTTGTCCATAACTAACACAAAGAGGTACGGGCTCAATGCTGACCCTTGATGTAGACCTATTGTCACTGAAAACTCACTTGTATCTCCACTAGTTGTTTGTACACTAGTTAGCGTTTCATCGTATATATCTCTTACCAAGTCGATGTAGTGTTTAAAGACTCCTTTTTTTTTTCAACACCCGCCGAATCAAATTTCAAGGTACTCTATCATAAGCTTTCTCTAGGTCAATAAAGACCATGTGGAGGTCTTTTCCCTTCGCCCTAAACTTCTCAAACAATTGCATAAGTAAAAAAATACCTCAGTTGTGACCTTCTTGGCATAAAACCAAATTAGCTTTCAGATATGCGCGTTTCATGCCTTAGTCATTGATCAATCACTCTCTCCCAGAGCTTCATAGTATGGCTCATAAGCTTGAACCCTCGATAGTTCGCACAATTTTGTATCTCTCTTTTGTTGTTGTAAATAGGTACCACAATACTTTTCCTCCATTCTTCTGGCATTTTCTTTGTTCTCAACACCTTCTTGAGCAGCTTCGTCAGTTAGTCAGTGCCAATCTTCCCCATGCACTTCCAAACCTTTATCGAGATACCATCTTGTCCTGAAGTCTTTCTTACCTTCATCCTTTCAAAACTTCTTTTATTTCCGACATCGTAATCCTATGAATGTATTTTTGGCCTCCGCCCTCATTTGTACCAATAGTTCCTTCTACCACTATGTTCCCATTGTGTTTGTGATTTAATAATTTTTGAAAATAAACTCTCCACCTTTCATTGACTTCGTCATCCTTCACCAAGACCCTTTGATCCTCACTCTTAATGCATTTAATATGGTTTAGATCCCTACATTTTTTTTCTCTTATTTTTGCTAATTTGAAGACATCTTTTTCACCTTCTCTTGTTCCCAGTTTATTGTATAGATCTTCATATGCCTTAAGTGTAGTTTTACTTTCTATTTGTTTAGCGTTTTGCTTAGCATTTTTATATTCTTTCAAGTTTTGATCGTTTCTATTACACTGTTAAGTTTTATAACATGATCGTTTTTCACAAATAGCTTTTTGAACTCATCACTCCACCACCTAGTTCTTATTGGGATTTCTTTTCCCTCTAGATTGTCCTAAAACTTCTTTTGCTACTTTCTTGATACAGTTAGCTATCTCATTCCATAAGACATTGACATCATGTTCAGAGTTCCATTTTCATTCTTCAACTAATTTATTCCTAAATAAGTTGATATTCTCATTTTTTAAATTCCACCACCTAGTTCTTGGACATCAATTACTTTCACCCGTTCTCTTCCATGTCTTGATGCAGATGTCCATAACCATGAGCCTATATTGGGTAGTCAAACTCTCTCTTGGGATAACCTTGCAGTCTTTACATGATGGTCGATTTACCTTCTTAACTAGGAAGAGGTCTATCTGGCGTTTATGTGATCCACTTTTATAGGTTATTAAATGTTCATCTCGTTTTTAATGTAGGTGTTTGCTATTGCTAGGTTGTAGGCCATAACAAAGTCTAGAATAGTCTCACTCCTCTCATTTCTTTCCCCAAATCCTTATCTCTTATTTAGCCCTTCATATCCTCTACTATCCTTCCCTACATGGCCATTTAAGTTCCCTCCTAAAAAGGTCCTCTCGTCATTTGGTATGTCTTAGACTATTCTATCTATGTCCTCCCAAAATTGTCTCTTAATTCTATCATCTAATCCTACTTGTGGTGCATAAACACTAATTAGTTAATTATCTTTCTTTAATACAAGTTAAATTAATAAGAGCCTATCACCTATTCTTTTGACATTAATTACTTTATCTTTTAAATCTTTGTCTACTATTATGCCTACGCTATTTTTATTATTATCCTTTCCTGTATACCAACGTTTATACCAATCTATTTCTTTAGTTTTTTTCCTTTCCATTTAGTTTCTTGTAGATAGACTATGTTTACTCTCCTTTGTCTCATGGTATCTACTAACTCCATTACTTATAGGCGTTTCTACATTCCATGTGGCTAGATGAATCCTATTCTCTTGGACTAGCTTCTTTACCCGCGCTTGTCCAAGATGTCGTGGGAACCGTTGCCTATTTTTCACCACAAACAGGCAGCTCTGCAATACGTCGCTTTTGGGGAACGCCCTAGCCCTAGCTAATCCTTTCTCATTTCTCATCGTACCCAAGGTCTTGGTTCATTCTTTGACTGCTCTGCTCCTGAAAAAATAGAGAGACTTGTAGCGCCCCGCTTATGGGGAACACCCTAGGTACCCCTTGCTTATTTTTCACTGAACCCGGGTTTCGGTACAAAGCGATGCTTCTGGGGAACGCCCTAGCATATACTGCAGGTTCAAGATTTATGATAAGTTTTGGCAAAATTTTGCGTTGGCTGCCTACGTAACACAACCCAACCCTTTTACTCAGCATGGGATGGGTTTAAGGGAAAGTTTAAGGTCATCACTCTTCTTAGGCTATGCTAAGGTCAAGAGGATGCATGTGGAAAAATGGCCCTAACACAATGTTTCTACCAACAAAAAATGGCTGGAGGCGATACTGTATGATGTTATCCTTTAGGTTGATGATAGAAGATTTTTTGATATACACAAGAAGCGGATAGACGAGGAGGTGATCCTAGGCACCTATGCTGTAATTTTGCTTCTCATGGTTCTTGTCTCTGTTGTGCACACTTTTGATTGAGTTGTAAAGAATGAGATTGCAATTGAATTGTGATTTTGTATATGTAAGTATTTAATGAAATAGCATAAGAATTATATGTTCTGAATTTTTCATATGTAAAAGTTGTGTTGTATGCAAGCAATCTCATTGTATCTAAATGATGTTTCACTTTTTTTATGCGAATCAATCCTACTACTAAAAACATGTTGAGGCCATTTTAAGATGTATATGATGTTTTTCATTGGTGTAAATCAAAGAATTAAGTGATTGTAACAATTTTTACGTATCTAGCATAAAATTTTTAAGTGTTGTATATCAAGCGACTGGTATCTACATCTAACAAATTTTTTTTTTCCTTCTATAAATATGTAATTGTTGAACGAGAAATATAGAAGAGAAGAATTTATGGGTCTTATGAAAGACTTTCAAGGTAGACTCCCCTGCAGATCCTGAGAGGGTATTAATATTTCAATCCTTTTTTTTTTTTCTATGCTTTTGGTTTATTTATTTTTTCGTATCCCACCTCCCTACATCAAATAGTACCAGCGCTTCAAAATATCCATCCATCATGATGCTGCCAAGGCTTGCTCTTTCGATTGAGGTCATGTTGTTGCAACATAAAGGTTGTGAAACAACAAAGTAAAAAGGGCATAAATCAAGCCTTGGAAGATATACTTGTGCAAATTGGTGAAATTGGAGGAGAGATCGAGGAACTTTGAGGAGATATCGGCAAAATAAATCAACAATTGCGACGATTAGAAAATATCAATTGCCAAGAAGAGGTTGCTCGCAATCTCATAGATCTGGCACCAAATCTCACCCTAGGGATTAATCGAGCTCCACTACCGACTCCTATGGTCGATCCCATGCGTAATGAGCAATTTTTGAGGCAAGAACCACGCCTTAAGGAATGTCGACATGATTGCTGTATCGAGGCCAATCTTCCGGAATTTCACAAGGAGCTTGAAAGAGAAATCGAAGCTATGTTTGACATCCCAATGTTTCACTACAAGTTGCAGATTAAGTATTTGATTAATTGGTTCATTGAAGAAGACAAAGTACTTGGGCAAACGGTGCAACTTCATCACCAACCATTGAAATGGCTTTTGAAGGTTGCAATGAACACAACAGACTTGAGGTTGAGCTTCTCCCAACCCCAACAGAATGATGCAATTAAGGTTTTTATTTTTTTGTTTATTTTGTAGGAGTTTGAAATTTAGGCTTGGGATTATTTGGGTTTCTAGTTTTCTTTTAGGGTATATGTGTCTTTCTATGCTATAGAGAATTGATGGTTAGAATTGGAAGTTAATTTTTAAGGGATGAATGATTAGGATTTAATATTTGATTTAGGGTTTCGTAGGGGGCAAGGTCTATTTTTTTTCCTTTTCTTTCCCTTTTGTAAATATGCAAGTGTTGAACAAAAAACGTCGAAGAAAAGAATTTATTTTGGATATTATAAAAAAAGATCTTTTGGGGGTAGACTTCCTTGTAGACCCCGAGAGATGGTATAATCTTTCAACCCTTTATTTTTATTAGTGTTTTAGAACCTAGCAATCTTCAACTGGGGTCGCCGATCCGAATGCTGATTCAATCGGGACCGAAGATGTTCTGGAATGGTATGGGTCCCGGCCTGGTTCCCCACTAAAATCCCCCTCTACATTTTTTTTTCTTTTTCCTTTATGCTTATCTAATGTTTTTTTGTAGTCCCCCTTACATCCCCACCCCATAAACCTCTCTTATTTTTTATTTTAATTTTTTTAGATCACGAATCTAGACGATTCAAGAATGATCTGGGTCGCCAATCCAGCCGATTCGAAATGGGATTGGGGGTGGACGCTCCGCCCTGCCAATCTGCCTGCCAATCTGTTTTTTTAAACATTCATATTTATATTTCAATTTTCTAATTAATTTAATTTTTCCTTCTCCTGCCTCCCTACATCATCCTCTCTCTTTCAATCTTTCTTCCAGGTGTAGCCTTGCAAGTTATCTTCTTGGTTCAGATATTGGGAAGGAGAGCAATAGGACAATGGTGCATGAAATGTTCTGTCCTGTGTTCACAGCCTTGCTGGATGCCCTTTTGTTGCGGGCTCAGGTTTTGTTCTTCATCTTATCCTCGGCATTGCTTTGAATATGGCAACCTATATTCCTCTGCATTTGCCTTTAGGAAATTGATTGTGACATTACTATGGATATATTCCTGTATGAACTGTTGTGCTTATCATCATGCAGCCGTGTGGCATTTATTTGCTAAATCAAACTATGAATGTACAAATTAGGTTTCTACCTCAATTATTCATAATTCAGAACCGCTAGCAATATGTGGGTCTAGAAGAATTAGGACGATGTAGCAGTTTGTTTTTTATGTGAAGGGAATGTCAGACAAGTTTCATATTTTTGCATATGCTTTTTTTTTTAAAAAAATAAGTTGACTATTGTATTGATAAGTATAAAGAGATACAGCTTAAGGGTACACAATTAGGCAATCCCAATGACTGGGTGCCCTGTACTAAAACCCCTAGTGGTCCAAAAAATGCTCTACACCAGAATCGAGAAAATTAATGGGATGCATGCTCAAAAAATGCCTGCAGTCCCCTGGGAGGTGTTGAGACTAGCTCCTGCCCTTGCTAAGTCGTTGGCAGCAATTTGCCTATGTTTTTAAAAATTCTGATGTGCTTTGTCATACTTATACGGCTTGAATTGTTAAACCACATGCACCTTTTTTTTTTTGGGGGTAACTCAGTGCGTAATACAGTCCCCTACTGTTTTTGAAATGGTTAGTGGTTTTTCAAGGTGTAAGTGGGAATGAAAGCCACAACGTGCAACTGAGGTATGGGGGTGCTACCACCGTGACCCCAGCCCCTTTCCCAGAACCACATGCACCTCAATAATACATTCGTGTCTTACATGTACCCCACTAGAAGGATATTACACAACGATTTTACTTAGAGATTGCTTTTCCCTGGCCCCTGATACTTTTCAGATTGTCTTTAATATGCTTTGCTCTGATACATGTTATTTGGCTCAGTATATCGGTTACGGCTGATAATGATTTTGTTGAACATTTGCCTTTACATTTGAATCTTGCATGATTTGCCCATTTTGTAATTGGACAGGTAGATGCGAACACTTATAGTGCTGATGATGGAATTCTCGACATTCCCGATGGCCTTACTCATTTTAGGATAAGCATGGAGGAACTTTTGGTAGATATTTGCCAGCTTTTGGGACCAAATGCGTTTGTACAGAAGGTGAATTCCTCCCCATCTCTCGCTTATTCATTGCCTACAGTTTAAACCTTATGAAATGGCCAATCTCCTTCAACAGCATCAAAGATAGAGTATTTGATATTTTTTGATAACAATAATATTCAATAAAGATGATGTGTATTTAGTTGCACTTGAGAGCACTGACAGAGTTAGAAATATATAAAGAGCTCAGAAGTCGTATAAGTGCGTAGATGAAAGGAAAAATCTTAGTAATAAGAATGGTAGCTATTCAAGTTTATAAATATGGGTCAATGAATCTCCAACTGTAAAGCCTACTGCTCACCATTACCTTCTCTCTAAATATGATGATGGGATCTTACCCTCTTGGGATTTAAAGATTTGCTCCAAGCGATCCACGAACCTCCTCAGGAAACATAGTGTGTGTCAGTATCCTTGTTTTCATTCTTCACTTGTCTTTCCCGGTTTCTGTGATAGATCATATCATAGTTTGACATTTAAGACCCAGGGTTGCCAAGGTGTTTATCAGTTTGGATCAGACTTAGGAGTACATGCATAAAAATAATAACTTTGATGACAGTGCTTTCATACGAGAATGTGAAATTACTGTGAAGTTCTCCATCGCAAGAATGTCTGGGATAATATTATTTGATCCCCTCACTGCACTTTGAAAAAAAAAACAGAAGGAAATCTCAGATTGTGACTTGCATTATGAGAGTGGTGGCATACACTTCTTTTTCTTTTTCTTTTTTTTTTGGATATTTTTTTGTTTTATATTTTTCTTATTTCTTGTTTTTTGTTTGATTTCCTGTTTTAATGGTTTTTGTTAATGTTTATTTTTGTTGTTTTCTATGTCTGTAGCTCTTTTCTGGTGGATGGGCTTTTAGAGATGCACCTATTCCTTGGGAAGAAGTGGAAGCTAGAATGTTTGCACTGCACACGGTCTGTTTATTCGTTTCAGCTGAAGCATGTGACGCATAGTATCATTGTGCAGCTTTTGTCTCTTCTATAAAATTAGAGCCAGTTATCTTATTTCCCATCATTTTCCCACTTGAAAACTTCATGTGTGGCCATTTCATGTTGCAGGTTGCTGAGATCATTCTACGAGATGGACAGCCATTTGATTTTTCTGTAATTATGCAGTTAGTGACAATGCTATCTAGCAGATCAGCAGAGGACCTTGTGGGATTCATGTGCATTGTAAGGATAATCATGTTTTGTTCAGACTTGCTCTTTTATATGAGCAATTCGATCCTGTGGAATACTTAAAATATTTGGATAATTTTAATTTGTTAGTTGTTTGGATGCCAATAAACAATGAGTTTTCCTAGTGTAATTTGCTCTCATGCTTTGGGGAGCTGAACAGATTCTTCATGATGTTTTGATCTTTAGGTGTACAAATCTGTAGCTGATGTTGTGGGTTCGTATTCGAAATGGATATCTGCATTCCAAAATACTATTAGACCCTTACTGTAAGGTTCTGTTCCTAAGTTTGTGGAAAATAAAGTTACTTTTTCAATGAGATTGTCAAGCTAATCTCTGTAAGGTCTTTGATCTATATCCTTATAAACCTGGATGTCAAATTGTGCTGTCTCCTAACTCTGGCTGATCTACTACTTTCAGAATATTCTTTGCATCTGGAATTGCCAGACCTACATCCGCAAGTGCCTGTTCTACAGCCTTACGTAAAGTCTGTGAAGATGCATCTGCAACAATTTGCGAGCTATCAAATTTGGAGCTATTGATTTGGATTGGAGAGGTACTTGTATAACCTTTTATTTGTGTGCTAGTTAAAAGCTCTCTTTATGGAGAGGGTTAGTGAATTCTGATTGTGATTATAGTTTAAGTTAGTGTTATAAGGTAAATATTCTGCAATTGTGTGCGACAGTACTGATAAAAAAGAAACAAAAATTATCTGTATGTAGTTTTTTTTGGAATGGAATTATTGGTGCTTTGATCGGCATCTATAATTACAAAGTATGCAGTTTTTGTAAGTTTGCAAGATTAGGGGTTTATGTTGGTTTTGAAATTTTGAAATGCTAAAATCATTGCTAGTGGTTTATTCTTTGTTGATGGAATATGAAGAACTCTGGTTGTTTTATATTATGAAAATTTGAAGAGAGAAAGTCTTTGCCTTTTTTAGTAGATTTACAAGCTAGCATGTGGAATAGATTTCTCACTTCGGTGATGATTGAGCTGTTTCATATCCGTTGGAACTTTTTATTTTGTTCGAACTGCTGGAACTTTTCCCTTTTTGCTGTATATGCTTGGATTAGCTAATGTATCTGATTAAATTTGACAGTGCTTGGAGAAAAGGCATTTGACCTCGGGGGAAGAAGAGGAAGTTGTTATTGCAATAACACTCATTCTTAATGCGGTTCCTAACAAAGAGTTGAAAAAGAATTCTTTAGCAAGACTACTTCGTTCCAGCTATGAAGCTATTGGGAACCTGGTATCCATTCTTCGGCTCTGATATTTCTATGACATAGTATCTGGTATATGGGGTGTATCAATACATTTAATATGTGTCACCATATCAGTTAGTTTGTAGCATCGCTAAGTTGTAAATCAAGGAAATAATTAGTCCGACAGGATACTGCACTTTTATTTACTGTTATTTCATTATCGTAGTCTCCAAAAGCAAAAAATAATCAGGTCACTGGTGCACTTACGTTTTGTTACTTAGTTCCCGGGATTTCTTGTTAGGTTCAATGTAATTGTACTTTCCGCAAACTTCCTTTGTGCTGCTTGGTGACTGTGTCATTGTTTTATAGTTGTGAGTTGAAAGCTTTTTCATTGCATACAAAGATTCCATTGTCATAATTGAAAATCTCCATCACCTTTGGTTTCCTCCCCACCAACCACCCGCTCTGGCAATTGACTTGCATGATACCTTGGAGATATGTCTGTCCACTCATATCAGTAACAACAGTAAAATTTATGTGTCCCTCTTTGTAGCTAGTGTGTGCACTTATCTAATGATCAACAACTGACTCTGTTGAAGAGCTTTCAATGAGGTGCTAAATTAGTTAACTGAATTTAGATGTAGCTTTGGACATGATGCTACAGTGTATGTCTTTCCTGTTTATATATCAGTGAAGATGATGTCCTATTGGCAATCTTCTGCATATGTTGATGTGATGTTTCACATCATGTGGGATAATCTAGAATTTTTATTTTTCTAAATGAGCATTTTGTTGAGTTTGCTACATTGTTTTATTGCTATTTTTTTATTTGTTTTAGTCTTAAAGCAATTAAGCAGTTGCATTTAGAGTATCTCTGTGGATGTTGATTTAATCTGGCTTATTTGATTGATCACCTTAATTTTACAGATGGCAGATTAATCAATCTATTGATGTTCTATTAATCACTTTATTGTGGAATCTTAGCCGATAAATTACTTCATTGGAGTCGAGACTTATTTTATTCTTTTGTTAATTACTAGGTATTAAAATTTCTTGTGTTCCTTCTAGATTGATGGAGACTTGGGGCCTTCTCCTGGACATTCTGCAGCTTATTCTCAGGCTCTGGATTCTGCTTCTAGAGGTCTTTATAGGTAAAGTTCTTGTTGATCAGTTACTTTTTTACGGATCTCTATAGGTTTGCTTCTTGAAATTGTCCAACTTGTTAATTTATAGCCTTTATTTTTGAGTTTGCATGAGAGTGATGTACCCCAAAAATCAGTCACTCACTAATCTTTGATTACAAGAACCTACAACACGTCTGAGGAGCAAATTGAAATTCAAATAAGGCTACATATATATAAATTTAGCAGGCAATCATCCACAAACTAAATAAGCAAACCTGTGTAAATCACAAGCAAGTTTAGGAATTTCTTTTAATGCCTAGGAGATGAGATTTAGATCTACACAAAATCTGCTAAACAAAAATTGATCTTGCTCAATTTAAGGCCAGCCTACGGCCAGAAGACAAGAAAAGGGTGTAGCACTACTTTAAATTAATTCTGGAGGGTCTCCACAACTAGTTTTAAGGTATGAAGTCAAGGGTGTGTAAAGAAATTTTGGTTTTGATTTTAGATGCGATATTGGGGTTAAGGTTTCAAGGGATTTTATTTTGGGTTAATTGTAGGAAGGGCCTATGGGTTACTTTTAGGGCTGTATTAGACTTTTAATGGGGACTGTTTGCTGGTTTGGAGGGTTACTACAAAAGCAAAAATTTAAGGACAGAAGAAACTAGGGAAAATAACGGAGAAAGAGAATTCAGAAAGGAGGAAGACTAAGAAAGATTGTAAGGAAAGAAAAGACGTAAGGAGGGAATAAAGGAGAGGACAAAAGAATTTAGGGGAAGAACAGGGAATAAAGAAGAAGAGAATAGGTTGGATAAAAGAGAAGATTAAATCTGATGGGTGCCTTGGAAGGGAGGGATCTTGGGGGCTGCTACCAAGCCTTTCCTATGGCCTTAAATCAAGGAGTTTGAGAACCCCAGAGTTTTTTCTTCATGATTTCTCAAAAAATAAACATTGTAGGGGGTGGGAGGTCCCTCGCTTTCCTTCTTTATATTTGTCTTGAACATAATCATGCAAAATACCCTTAATCAAAATAAAATAGTAAAAGACTAAGCTACCCTTGACTTCTCCACAACTCTAGAAGACGTAAATACCCTTTGGTCACTAAACTAAATGAAAAGGCCAATAACCTTAGCTTTCACTCAAAAAAAAAAAATTCTTTTTGAACCCTAATGCCATGATATCCTCATCAGAGAGCCCTGAACCTAGTATCTGAGATGGAGGGCTTCATACCAGCAGGTTTGGGTGCTTGATCTAATGATCATGTAATTTGTTTCATGGAGTGTTAAGCTACTTGATTCTGATTGAGGTAGCAGCACAGCTTATGGTCGAGTAAACATCATAACTTATCTACTGAGTATCATACTATAGATAGACAGCTAAATCAATTTCTCTGCTGGCTGATCACTATTTATTCTTGAAGTTTTTGGTTATCAGAACAAGATGCTCTTTTTGTTGCTTTCTGATTTCAAAGAAATTTGTAAAAGGTAAAAAACTTGGATAACTAAATATCTGCACTCATAATTATGCATTTAGTTTCTTTTGCATGAGTATTGTATTCTTGGATGTGTTAGCTTTGATCTATCAATGTCTCAGTATATCGGCTACAAGGTGTAGCCATGAATAACAGTGATTTTATATTCTATTGGGTCGGTACTCCATTTAGGAGCTTGTACTTGACTGGTTTCAGGATGGGAGCTGTACTCAGTCATCTTGCGAGCCCTCTTTCATCCAATCCTGCCAAGGATGACCCTATGTTGATTCTTCTGGAACTCTTTTGGCCCCTTCTAGAGAAACTATTTAGGTCTGTACATATGGAGAATAGCAACTTATCAGCAGCTGCATGCCGATCTCTTTCTCAAGCAATTCATACTTCTGGTAACGCTGGACATTTTTTTTTATTCTCATTTTTTGATTCTTTGAATATTTTGCTTATTTGCTGATTTCATGTTGAGGATACTCTAAAACAATTATGTTTTGAAATAGTTTGCTTCATGTGCAGGGCAACACTTTTTGATGCTATTGCCCAAAGTGCTGGACTATCTGTTGACTAACTTTTTGTCATTCCAAAGCCATGAATGCTATGTCAGGACAGGTAGGCCTTGATTTATATTGGGATATTGGAAGACTTACTGTGTGCTTCTGCTACTTCTGTTTCAAAGTTTTGAATCAGTTGTCGTCCTTTGTCTAACCATGGTTTATTATAATTGTGAAACTGTATTGGGTTGTCTTCTGCTCCAGAAATGTGATTATGCAGTTGCATGTGGAAGCACCTCAATTGCTCAATTCAATCTTTCCTAAATGATATTCATGTTTGTATGATCTATTTTTCATTAAAATAAGATGAATGCAAGAATTATATATATTGTGCCTTGTGTTAGGTAGGTTATTGTCAAATTCAATATCAGACTTTTCTGCCATTCAGAGTTGGTCTTTATCTGATATGACTTCCAATAACCCCCGGAACTTATTTATAGTATTAGTCTCAAGAGTGTTGTTGAATTAGATAGAAACCTGCAAGCCCATGGTTCTTATGTGAGTCTCCTAAATTAACTATCAAAGGAAAGTGTATCTTCTAAGATTGAAAGGACTGCATTATAAGTCACTGGCAGTTTCCTAACTGAATTAATCTTCCGAGAATCGGTTAGTTCCTTATCTCAACGATAATGGTCTGCATTATATATAGAATACTAGGATCCAAGAGAGATGAATTACTATGGATGTTGCTTTTGCCTTCATAAAAGAACTGGAGACTCTTAATTCCTATATATCCCCGAAGTGTATGTTGTTCTTGCCTTTTATCTAATCAAATGGTGGATGTTTCCTGATTATTTTATTTGACATGTAATGCATGCAAGAAACGTGTTCAATGACATGTCTCGGTTTTTTTTGGCGCCTGATCATATCTCTCTTTTTTTGGGCTACATGCCTCAAATTTCAGCTGCTGTTGTCATTGAAGAATTTGGTCACAAAGAAGAATTCGGACATTTATTTGTAAGCATCTTTGAAAAATTTACCTCGGCAGCATCCATATCTGCTCTTAATTCATCTTACATATGTGATCAAGAGCCTGATTTGGTGGAGGCTTATACGGGTTTCGCATCCACATTTGTTCGATGTTGTCCGAAGGTCCTCTTTCTTGCACTCGTTCAGCTCCTATGACAGCAAAAGACATGCATTTCTTAAGGCCTCTATAGATTTAGTTTTATTTTGGATTCTTTTTCAGTTTTACATTGTGTTCTCAGGAGGTAGTGGCTGCATCTGGTTCGCTTCTCGAAGTGTCCTTTCAGAAAGCTGCTATCTGTTGCACGGCCATGCATCGTGGGGCTGCACTAGCAGCAATGTCGTACATGTCGTGTAAGCATCACTCTCACATTTCTTTTAATCAGTAATCTAACTAAGCACCTTTGTTGTTTTTAGCAAGCATGTTACATGGTGATACAAACAGATTCATACTTAAAAACATCTTCCTGCCCCCCATCATTACCATTCTACTGCCCTTGTAAATAATAATTTGTATTTGCTGTGTCATTTATCTTCTTTTTTACATTCTTTGGATTTAATCAAGTCAGAAATGGTTGCAGCTCATCCAGAAATAGGAGAAGGGGAATATTGCATTAGCTGATTTTGGTCTTACATTATTCTTGTATTCATCATGGTCATTTTGAGATTTTTCTTTTCTGAGTGTCTCTAATTTGTTTTATAATGTCCCCCTCCTCTCTCTCTCTCTCTCTTTCATGCCCATGCGCCCACACACAATGATTAATTCTTTTATCTCCTTACATGATTTCATCTAATGTTGGAAAATATTGATTCTCCTAATTTGATCCGACTTCCACAGGTTTTCTAGAAGCTGCATTGACATCATTGCTGGAAAAAATGTCTTGCATAACTGAAGGATCATTCATGGCAGTCACAATTCAGGTTTGTTCTCGCAGCGGTGAGGGCCTTCTATCAAATGTGTTGTATGCTCTACTTGGCGTCTCAGCAATGTCGAGGGTAAATATTCCCTTCATTCATGATAGTTAGGTATATAACATTATTTACCGCTCATGGGATATATTTGTTTTTCTTTGTCATCATTCTTTGTGTAGTGTAAGAATAGAATTTCAGGAAACTGATGTAGTGGCAATATTCTATCAGATCTTTTTAAAGAGAAATAGAAGAAACAATTCATTTTCGACTTATGATCTTGGGAACTATCGGATATAAATAAATGCCTAATTAGATGTTGATCCTCAGTGTTCTTTTTGCACCACCCTTGTTTGGCTGAGTCCATGAATATTCCTCTTATTGTCTAGGTGCACAAATCTGCAACAATCTTGCAACAGTTTGCTGCAATCTGTCGTTTGAGTGAGAAAACAACATTGAAAGCCCTTCTCTCGTGGGAGTCTTTACAAGGATGGCTGCATTTAGTGGTCCTCTCTCTCTCTCTCCATGCACACGCGCACACACACAAATTGGTCTCTCTGGTGATTTATGATGTGGCTCTCTTTTCTCTCTTTCTTTGGTTTCTCTTTGTGATTTCTATTGTGGTTTGACTCTCTCCCCCTCTGGACTGCCATTTAGTTTACTGGATGATTTGGATGACAGTTTTGCTCTCTCTCCCTCCTCTCCCCCTCTCCCTCCCCTCACACACGTGCACACACACACTCTCTCTCTCTCACTGAGTTATCTTTGTTCATAAGTAGGTGTGTGCCCTGCCAGCTGAGTACCTTAAACAAGGGGAAGCAGAAATTTTGGTGCCAAAATGGCTGAAGGCTCTCGAAGGTGCAGCCTCAGACTACCTAGAGAGCAAGACCTGCACTGGTAGGAGAACAAGCGACGGATACATGCAAGGGAAAGGAGGAAGGGCCCTAAAGCATATCATTCGGGATTTTGCTGACACACATCGCAATGTTCCCAATCTAACATAGCCATTTGAACTTCAGGTCTCATTCAAGATCTACTTTCCTATTACCACTCTACCACCATCTCAAAACTCATTCTTTCTATGCACCACAAAGGTGACCTTCTCAGACTTCCCCATTGCTGGTGGCTCCTGTAACGAAAACTGTAAATTGAAGGTGTGTTTGGAGCAAGTTATTTACTCTCTCTCTCTTCTCTCTAAAGGTTTTTTTGGTACGTCTGCTGTAGCGGCTTATAGAATAACTGTTTCCATTCCTTGCCTCAAGGTTTTGTTAGAGGCTTTCACATTGTCTGTAATCCTTTGTATGCAGCTGTGAATCTGCAATGTACAGTAAGGCTCATTAAACTGAAAATTTTGTTTTACACCTTGAAAAATGAATGGAAATCCTGATGTTTTTGCCTCCTGTTGGAAGAGAGAAATTATTATATTTGCTTCTAAGACCTTTGGAGACCTCTTCATTAAAATATTTCAAAAATCTTAACAATATTAATAATGTTTTGAATAGGGATCATTTACATTGAACGTCTACCTTTCATACACTATGGTCACAAAAAATGCAAATCGTCAGATTTGGAAAATGAGAGATCTGGGTTGTCACTTCGTGATCCAAAGCATGGATAATAGTACATACCCGTCTACTCAATTTCAAAATATTGTTTAGTGCTTCACTTCAATTAGGCGGTCGAGACTAAAAGACTTTGGATGGAGCGTCACAACCAACTTAACTATCGATCGATTGTGGTGTGTCATTAATTAGGTTCAAAATTTAAATTTTTTTTTTCGTTTTTGACGCAAATGAATTGATTTGATTCCCCTTAAAAATAGGCTTACACCAGAGCTAAAAAACTTGGCCAATTCAATTCGGGCTCCGCCTAGGTACTCGGCCTTGGCAATGGCACCTTGCCAAGGCCGAGTACCCCTTCCACATACGTGGGAGTGAGATACAAGTACGGTACTCAAGTAACTACTATACAAACTCCCTTGAGTACAACAGAATGAATTTAGGTGGACATGCCCTGCACTCGGACGGAGTCATTGTAGTACTTGCCCGAGCATTTTTACTTAAATCAGAAAAACAAAAGGAGGTCATGCATCTGCCCTCCTTTTTCATGTATATATCTCTATCCTCTCTCTCAGGCAATAAGAGTCTCTCACCTGTCTCTCTTGGGTAAGGAGTCTCTTTCTTCTCTCTCTCAAAGGGGTTCCCTTTTTCTATCATGTTTTTATCTTTGCTATTCCTAAGGCATGTACATTACTCATGTGAGTCCATTCGGACTCGCCCGAGTTACTTGGATAGGGTATAGGCTGAGTGCTTAACCTTGCCTCATAGAATGTGCATCAAGGTTTCAAATGCAGCCTTAAACTATTGTAGGGGCGAAGGTTGCTTACTGTTAAATAACGAAATTAGAATAGGATTAACATAATTCACTTCAAGTTTTTAAAAGAGGAAAAGTCGGAAGATTACCAATCAAACAAATAGTATAAGCTTGAGGGCAAAGATTGAAAGATCCAGAACATCCAGAATTAATTACGACTATTGTGTTATTTCTTGTTTAACTTTTTTTTTTTTTTGAAAAAGGTAATAGTTTGATTGACCACAAAATATGTACATACAAACACGTTGTTATGACATATCTTATTCGCACATCATGCTCTTCCATCCCACTAAAAGCTTTAAATACCTAACCATTTAAAAAACGAGCTGAGGTTTGTATTCTCCGGTCCCACTAAAAGCTTTGAAAATCTAACCATTTAAAATACGGGTAGAGGTCTGTATTCCCAACGGAAGTACCTAAAAAAAAAGAGCCAACCTTGGAGTAGAACTAAAAGAAAAAGAAAAAGAAAAAGAAGCCAACCTTCAAGTACTAGGGAACCTAATATCGTTGATAATCATGTAATTTCCTTGGGTTCATATTTGTTAATGCGCACACATTAGTTGCTCCTGTGATATAGATAATTTAATGATCACTCGCAATATTTTCATATATAAAGTATCTAATTTTGGGCAAGGGTAATTATATGTTAACTTGTGTAGTGAATACTAAATAGATAGTATTTTAAAAGCACTTATTTCTAGTGGCACTAAACCAAATGGAGCTTTAAATGTATCTCATGGCTAAATGTGCTTATATATATTTTATAAGGTGCACTTTTACGCTTATGTATATTTTGTGAGGTACACTTTTACTTGAATTATGAGGCCATTATTAAGTCTTTCATGGGAAAATTTGCAGTGGAAAGTCGATTGATCTACAACATGCAGGAGTATATAATCGGTTTCTTTGTAACGTAATCCATAGACAAAAATTGTGTAATACATTTACATTTTATAGTAAGTCGTTATGAGCTTATTTAGTTACTTTAGCTTTTTTCTGTAGCCATTAGTGCCCATGTCCACATATATTAATAAATGATGATGACCTTGGGCACTATGGATCTAGGATAATATGAGAGTACAATGGTAATTACAGTTTTTTACTATAATTTCTTGGATACAAAAAGAAAGTAAATATCACTTATATCAAAATTCATATTTTCTTGGATACAAAAAGAAAGCAAATATCACTTATATCAAAACTCATATTTCTGAAGGCCAAAACTACTCAAATCTATCTTCTGAAGACCAAAACTACTCAGAAGATCTGAGGACCAAAGAGGTAACAAGCAGCAGATCCCTCATCTTGAAAATCTGAGGACCAAACAGGTAACAAGCAGCAGCATCCCACATATCTTGAAAATCTAGAGCAACCTCAAAGAACTTAAAAAGCTGAAATAGTCCTTTATCGTCTGGATCACCGAGAAATTCACTTACTTGAATCCCATTATCTTTTTGCAGAGAAAAAGAGCTCGGTTTATCATCAATTATTATCACCCTTCTCATATTACACCCCATTGCTGACAAATCCTTGACATGGATCCTATCTGACATGCATCCTATCTACCAGACCACATGAGTCTCTGTAGAGTCTATGACTGATAACTCTATCTATCATATCAATTATTGGATCAACATATTCTTTAATAGACTTCGTAAAAAAAACTAACCTAGAAGTTCATCTATACCGGCCGTTTCTTAATATAATGGGTCATTCTTCCAAGATAACTATGAAGATAGTAGCTTTTTTTGACATCAAAGGTTGGCGATGCACTTGCATCTTGAAATCAAATATTGCAGGTTGTGTGTTAAACGACTTGATTAATATCTCATCTAGATCCAAAAAGACCGTGGGCTTTGGAGGGAAGTCTTGGAAGGGAGCTAGGTAGTTTGGTATCATTGGTATAGGTCTTACGTCTAAAAGGAAAAATAAAAAAAAAATCTGAATGTATGATGAAAAACTATATCCATAAAGGGATAAATCAATTCAATTTTTTTTTTTATATATAGAATTATAATAAACTTAATTCCAATACAAATAGAATATTTTGGCAAATAAATTCTATCTCATACTCTAACAAGTCGAGGAACACAAGTTCTTATACAAATAGGACCATTATTTTCTCAGCTTAGAGTGGAGAGTGGCAGCTTAGAGTGGAGAGTGGCTTTTTATTTTTCAAATACATAGAAGGTGACTATTGGAGAGAGAGTCTGAGAAGAAACAGGACTGATGCAATGTTTAGCACAAAGAATATGGCTATTGCCATTCACATATGTATCATTTGATAATCCATTTTTCTTTATAAATATGTTCTTTGATATCCTTTTTGATATGGTGTTAAATCTCTGTATTTGTTGAGACTCAATTCTGGTTTGTTATAGATGCCTAGGGCACGTTTGGTTTGTACGTAAATGTTTTCTGAAAATATTTTCACAGTGAAAATTATGTTTTATATGTTTGTTTGGCACGTAATGTATAGGTAAATAAGTCTCATAGTAAAACAAAAACTCACCTCTTTAACCTCACCTCTTTAGGTGAGAAAATTCTCGTGCTCTTACAGACCCACTATTCACTATTGGGTGCAGTTTGCATATGGATGCATCAGTAGGTGTAGAGGTAAGGTGCACTTTTAAATTTTATCATGGCATATTATTTGGATGTAAAATGTTTTTTGGACTATCTCAAAATCTATTTTTATATCTAATTATAAAATTTTAAATTTAAAAAATGGTTGATGTAAAATGTTCTTAGGACTATCTCAAAATCTAATTTTTTTATCTAATTATAAAATTTTAAATTTAAAAAATGGTTAAAATCAAGTAGATCTATAAACATATGAAAATCTTAAAAATGGATGGTGCAGGTAATATGTTGTAAAATGCACTATTTTTTAGAATTAAAATCTTTTTATTTTTCATTGTCATACATCTCGATGTCGAGATGATGAATCAAAGGGTTTTTCAATATTAAAACTACCTATGAATATTACAAATTATATCACTTACCATTAGGATAACAAAATATAATTTGTCAAGTTTTATCACTAATTTTTTATTCTATAACTTTGTTTCTCTTCGTGATGGTAAACAAAGTAGCACACAATAGTCATAAAAATATTTAAAATAAAAGTGATTTTTAATCTCAAGTGCAAACTTTTTATGAAACTAAATTAAAGTACATGTATTTGCGAAGTAACTACATGTGTAACTCAGTGATATTTGAAAAATTGTATTGAATACATACCCTATCGTCAGTCTACTCCAATGTCTCAAAGCTTTAATATCTCCAATATCTGCAATATATGCATTATACTTAAAACATTTATGTATCATAATGTGGAGCTTTATACACAACAATCAATACGAAATTGACGTTGAGAATCAGATGATAATCATGTTGAAAATCATGTTAAAAGTGTTTTTGTCATGAGATTTTGATTCCAAAGGGAATAGGGTTTTATAATTATGTATGCTTATAAGCCTCTAAGTTTGCCAATAGCAAGAGCCTCACAAAATTGAAACTTTAAAGCAGTGTTTGTAAAATCGAATCGGAATGGTTAACCGGTCATGAGCCTAGGAGTGGTTCGAACCGGAACTGGACTAACCGGTCAAGTAAATTTTTTTTTTAAAAAAATAGGGTTAAACGCCCAAAATATTTAAAAAAATAAAAAAAAAATAGAAAAGTTAATTAAACTATATATAAGTCATTTTTCAATTTTTCTTTTTTCTTTTCATCTTCTTGACTGGTCATATACTAGTCATTTGGATGAAGTTGCATCATAAGGTGCAGACAATTCATGGCTTCAATAGAGTAATAGAAAATTCTTGCAAATTCACAAGACTTCTACAATAATTCCATAGATTATCACTGAATAACAGTCAATAGTGTTGCAATAAATATATAAGTACGTCTTCAATAAAGCAATAGAAAATTCTTGCAAATTCACAAGACTTCTACAGTAATTCCGTAGATTATCACTGAATGACAGTCAAAAGTGTTGCAATAAATATATCGGTACGCATAAAAA